ATTTACAGTGTAAAAGCATGATTTGGTTGGTTTGTTGTTTAACGCCACACTCAGCAATATTCCAGCTCTATGACGGCGGTCTGTAAATAATCGAGTCTGGACCAGACAGTCCAGTGATTGATATCATGAGCCTCAATCCATGCAATTGGGATCAATGACATGAGTGAGTGAGTGAGTGAGTGAGTGAGTGAGTGAGTGAGTGAGTTGGGTTTAACACTGCTTTTAACAGTATTCCAGTTATATCGTGGCATGTCAGCTTAATGTGGGAGGAAAGCCCGAAGTGATGTAGGTCCAGCAAAACGTGGCGCCTTAGACGACTGGGCCACCCGTGCCCCCTCGATGACATGCATCAACCAAGTCAGCAAGCCTGACCACCCAATCCTGTTAGTTGCCATATACGACAAGCATAGTCGCATTTTACAAAAAGCATGGGTTCCTGAAGACCTATCCTACCCCGGATCTTCACTGGTCATAAAAGCATGAATGTCCTGTTAACAATTCCTCCTGGACCAGATACCCCAATGGTGAATAGTATGAGCAACAACTAGGCGAGGTGAAGTGAAATGGGGTTTAACATCACATCCAAGATTATTGCATTTACATAGCGACATGCATGCATGTGTGTGTGTGGCTGCGCGTACCAGCCCGGACTGATGCCAATTTATAGTGCTAGCCCACCGAGATACCATGCCGCAGTTTAACATGAATACCTCACTCAGACACAGTATACTGACTACGAAGCGACCAGTCCTTGTGTAAGCCCATTTAATGCCGAGCGCCATCTTTTAATGTATGGTATGACACGGCCGGGGATTGAACCCCGGATCTTTCACTCTCCGGGTGGACGTTCTACCACTAGGCCACAGAGGTGGTCCACAACTAGGTGGAAATGACACACAATCAGTGGTGTGATGCATGTGAAAGAGTGGGGGAGAGGGTGTACCACAAACATTCCCTACCTACAAACACAATCCCAACAGCGTGTGTTACTACATTGGACTTCTCATCATGAGTTTGAAACGAAAACGCCATGCTTACGATGCTGAATTCAAACTGCGAGTCCTCACGGGTTTATAATTCTATATACACCGATTCACAAAATGGCGCTTCGTTGTTGATGGCAACATATAACGATCATTATGAGATATAAAAAAACCACGAGAAACAGGTTCCCACATTATGAAAGTGGATGACTGGTTTGTTAAATCTTTATTAGAAATAATAATGACTTTTTCAATATAATTACAACGTTTTTCATCTTATATTTTTGAATATCTGCGAGTACCGGCACATGTCTTGCAGTCCGACTTCGCAGTGTTTTTTGCCTTCAAATCCTGGTTCGGCTTATCTGCGGGTCATATCATTTTCTTTCGTATTTCAATGGTCAAGTTAACACCTCGGCTTATCTACGGGGTCGGCTTATCCGCTGTCATATATGGTACAGACCTCTCATTTCACAAGATGGACATACACACACAATCCCAGCACTGTGTGTTACTACATTGTACTGCTTAAGCACATACTGACCTCTCATTTCACAAGATGGACATACACACACAATCCCAGCACTGTGTGTTACTACATTGTACTGCTTAAGCACATACTGACCTCTCATTTCACAAGATGGACATACACAAACAATCCCAGCACTGTGTGTTACTACATTGGACTGCTTAAGCACATACTGACCTCTCATTTCACAAGATGGACATACACACACAATCCCAGCACTGTGTGTTACTACATTGTACTGCTTAAGCACATACTGACCTCTCATTTCACAAGATGGACATACACACACAATCCCAGCACCGTCTGTTACTACATTGGAGTCTGCTTAAGCACATACTGACCTCTCGTTTCACAAGATGGACACACACAATCAAACCAGCCTGTGTTACACGACATATTGAACAGCTTAAGCACATACTGACCTCTCATTTCACAAGATGGACACACACAATCAAACCAGCTTGTGTTACACGACATATTGTACACCTGAAGCACTCTCTGCTGAGTGTCTAGTTTCCAAGTCTAATCTGACATAATCTAATTTCCTCACACACAGCATGTGGAAATACAGCGCTTCATGACAATGATGGCTCCATACATCATCCATCCTACACAATCCTACATGTGGGACTGACGACATTCCACATGCAGATCTCGCCATGTAGATATTACACTTAATGTCAAACATTACTACTCATAATGAAATGAAACCATATCATCATACAAAGTATCCATTTCTTTAAGCTAAATCAGAACAATTGAATTGATTAAATCGTGTTCAAAATACATTAAGTGAGTAAGTTTAATGTCGCTTTGAACAGTATTTTAGTAATATAACGGTCTGTCAGCTTTATGTGGGAGAAACGCCTGAAGTGATTCAGGTCTTAGATATTTACCACTTTGGTGAAACCCATGAGCACGGGCATGGTGCTGACAAACCTAGAAATAAATAATAATAATCACCTGAAACTGAGGTCCGAATCCTTCATCTTAGATTTTTGGCATGCCTAAGGGAAGCAACTCTGCACAGCAAACTGCAGCATGTTAGACAACTATGCCAACGTTGCAATCTCCAAAAGACTTGAACTGCCGCCATCACAATATAACAGGGAAGAGTTTTTTCTGCAAGGCTTTCTATCATATGATTAACTCTCCGATATTTTTCTGGGTGTACCAGGAAATGACTTTCTGCAGATTAAATGTTATTTTAATGTACTCTCATCCTAAATTCTATTTCCAAAATGCTTGAAAATTTCATCAAAGTTGGACTCTATTGTGCATCAACTTTGATCTCAAATAGTTGCAAAGGAATCCTTAACAAAATAATTTCCTCTTTTCTTCACACTTTAAACTAAGAAACCTCATAGCTGACAATGTTTCAAGTCAGTCGCTTTGTAAAGCATGCTCAAAATTTCATGGTGTGTTAAAAGAATATTTATGAGATGTATTTAGAGACAGTCAATAGGGGGCCCCGGTTGCCTAGTTACCTGTGCAGTGCCTTGGGCATGCCAGAAACCAGACTGTAGGTTCAAATCCCAGTTCAGGGGCGCTCGTCACACCAAAGACCAAGGTACAATTCCAGACATGGGTACAATGTGTGAAGTCCATTTCTGTGTCCCTCACCGTGATATTGTGGAATATTGCTAAAAGCGGCGTAGAACCATACTCACTCACTCACTCACTCAAATCTTGGGTTTGTCAACACCATACCTATGCTCTTGGGTTTCATCAAAGTGGTAAACGTCTGAGACCTGCATCACTTCGGGCTTTACTCCCACATTAAGCTGACAAGCCGTGATATAACTGGAATACTGTTAAAAGCGGCGTTAAACCCAATTCCCTCACAGACACAATCACATTAACAGTCAATAAGAATGCACACAAAAATGTGCCTGTTAGGTCGATACTGAGGACAGGAAGTGATCAACAAGAGAAATGTCAAAGTAGCTCATACTAGAAGTTTTGAAGTGAGTGATTAAGTTAGGGCATCATACTGTTCAGGGACAGTGTTTCAGTTGTGTCATGGCATGTCAGCTTAATGCGGAAGAAGAACCCAACTGATGCATCACTTCTACATAAGCAGAGAGAAACCAAGAGACCCGTGAAGATCGGGGGTAGAATAGGTCTTCAGCAACCCATGCTTGCCGTAAAAGGCGACTATGTTTGTCGTAAGAGGCAACTAACGGGATCGGGTGGTCAGACTCGCTGACTTGGTTGATGCATGTCATTGTATCCCAATTGCGTGGATCGGTGCTCATGATGTCAATCACTGGATTGTCTGGTCCAGACTCGATTATTTACAGACCGACGTCATATAGCTGGAATATTGCTTGCTGAGTGCGGCGTTAAACAACAAACCAACAAACAAACAGAAACCAAGAGATCAAGTATGGTGCTTACAAACCGTAGATCAACATGAGAATCTCGGATTCAAGGCTTTGACAAAAATCTGGCATCCAAGGAAAACAACCTCAGACTCCTGGGCCATTTGTTGTTATATAATCTCTATGCAGATATTAACACATCATGGATGAAGTGAGGGATTCGTGTACCAGCATTCAATGGACTTGGCATTTCAATTGCACATTTCTGGAAAAATGAATCCAGGCCACTGGTCAGAAAACATAACACTCTGCTCTGCTCCACTATCTGCTCTGCTCCTCTCTGCAGGCAGACTGAACCCGTAAGTGCTACACAGCTACGTCCTCAGCTGAGTCACTACCACCACTATAGAGCATCCAGCATCAGTAACATCAGCCGTATGTCACAGTGCAGTGTGTCCTGATGGAACACATCTCGTATCGAACCATAGGCTGTTTAAATGGAAATCTTTCAGATTTCAAACAGACAAAGACTCATTTCTTACTCAGGATTTCAGTATTTGTATAGTGTACCGAGTATAGAACTTTACATTTCATGAATATACAGCCAGATCCTTGTCGACACAACAGTGTACTTAATCAATCCACTCCTGTTAATCTCATTAGGTACATCACTATAATGTTATCTTAATCCTATCCCATCGGCTTCCTCATCATGTTGTTATCTTTTACATTAATCCTATGTCACTGGCTTAGTCATTATGTTGTTATCTTCGTACATTCATCCACCTTGTGATATGCAACATCATGATATATATATAGTATGTACCTACTAAGTATTCAACTGATGAAGGAGCAAGAAGTAGCTTTGAAATGTCGTACAAAGAAAACAGAAGTTTTTATCCATAAAAAATGTCATGTATTCATGCTATTTAACAAGTATTGAGCTTTCCATTCTCAGATTGTGTTCACAATGTTCAAATATTTTATCTTCCATAGCCAGAATGATTTCAGTAAATAGCCAGCAAATAATTTCTAGGTTTTGACCTTTACCTCCAACATTGATTGTACCTTCCAGAGTATCTGTGTCAATCATTGAGAATTAGAGACACTTACTGACACAAGAAAACAGGAGGGATACAAGAACTCCTCCCCAAGTCCACTTACCTTATTCTTCATGAGAACAGGTAATCCAGTCAGCGGTCATCATTATAACACTGAAATGAAATGAACAAGATGTCAGGCAGGCGGAGAGATCATTGCAGTGTTTCATAAGTAGTCAGAAGCACCCTACAACATGAAGCGAACACTTTCACAATACGACTCCGAGTGGTGAAATGTCTGTCGGAAGACTATAAACACGCATAAACTTTGCGGGGTATTATCACTGCTGCAGATCCTGCCAAACCATGCTTCCCACATATATACAGACACGCTGTGAATCCCCCAAAACTGAGATGGATGCACCGAAGGAGTCAGACAATGCCCTCACACAATAAGTCAATTATTTATGCATTATAGCACAGCTGCTGTCTACAAAGACTAGTCATCTACAAGTGAAAGACACTTGATTATTTCTTGAGGGATTTTCTCTAATTACATCTGCCTGCGAAAAATCTGTAATGAAATGTACAATGACGTATTTGAAATGAACGACAGTAAGGACAGAGAGTAATTCATCTCTTACGATATGAATCTGATATTGACGATTTAGTTCACAGGCAGCCATAAAGATAAGGATGGAATTAGAGTCCAGTTTGCCAATGAAATTGTGATTTGTTTACGGAAAGTATTAAAGATAAGTGGCTTGTCGGTTTGGGCGAAATAGATTACAAGAAAGGGTATTGTGAGTAACATGGAGGCGCTGATTACGTATACTGACGCCACCATGAACAACAGGTTTAGGAGAAATCGCTTTCTCTTATCACAGTTTTAATCAAGGAGGTAATGCCATTAGGCAGATATCTGTCTGGGCACACAGGCATTGCACAGCAATGTTTATACTAAATGTTCATTTCATGAAATTAACAAGACAAGCCTGTTATGAGATACAACAACCCTATTGCCGAAAAGCCATGACAAGTTCTTCCCTGATGAAATAAATTAAAACACTGACTGTAAAAGAAATAGATTAAATATATCATCAAGACGGCGTCCAATACATGGGTGAAGAAGGCGTACAATACATGAGTGAAGAAGGCGTACAACACATGGGTGAAGAAGGCGTACAATACATGAGTGAAGAAGGCGTCCAATACATGGGTGAAGAAGGCGTCCAATACATGAGTGAAGAAGGCGTACAATACATGAGTGAAGAAGGCGTACAATACATGAGTGAAGAAGGCGTCCAATACATGAGTGAAGAAGGCGTCCAATACATGGGTGAAGAAGGCGTACAACACATGAGTGAAGAAGGCGTACAATACATGAGTGAAGAAGGCGTCCAATACATGGGTGATGAGTTTCATCCCAGTGTGTCACACTGATGGGGTGTAACTCTGCACAGTGAACTACGTCACCTTAGATGACTGGGCCACCTGTGTCCCCTCCAAAATCACACACCAAGAGGACAATATTTGGTATATTTATTTATACAAGAGCTGTTCAAATTCATAAATAAGAGGTGAGGTGAGGTGAAATTGGGTTTAACGTCGCGTCCAAGATTATAGCACTTATATGTACGTGTGTGTGTTTGTGTGGCTGCTTGTACTAGTCCGGACTGATGCCGATTTATAATGCTAGCTCACTGAGATACCATGCCGCAGTTTAACATGAATACCCTACTCAGACACAGTATACCGACTCCGAGCCGACCAGTCCTTGTTTTAGCCCCTTAATGCCGAGCGCCAGACAGGGTAACAACAAGTACCATCTTTTAACGTCTTTAGGTATGACACGGCTGGGGATCGAACCCCGGACCTTCCGCTCTCCGGGCGGATGCTCTACCACAGGACCACGGAGGCGGTCTCATAAATAAGAAATAAATATAATTGTCATATAAGGTATATGTCATTAGCATAAATTCATCTATTAATGAGTGACCTCAACACCATGTGGAACTATATTTGACTTCAGCAATATGAGAATGTAACGGCCCTGACCTAGGATCACCATCAGACCATGGATCACCATCAGACCAAGGGTCACCATCAGACCATGGATCACCATAAAAACAAGGATCACCATCAGACCATGGATCACCATTAGAACAAAGATCAGACAAAGGATCACCATCAGAACAAGGATAAGACCATGGACCACCACCAGAACATGGATCACCATCAGACCATGGATCACCATCAGACCATGGATCACCATCAGAACATGGATCACCATCAGAACATGGATCACCATCAGACAATAGATCACCATCAGAACACGAATCAGACCATGGATCAAACCAACGATCACCATCAGAACAAAGATCAGACCATGGATGGATCACCATCAGAACAAGGATCAGACCATGGATCACCATCAGAACATTGATCACCATCAGAACATGGATCAAACCAACGATCACCATCAGAACATGGATCAGATCATGGATCACCATCAGAACATGGATCACCATCGGAACAAGGATCAGACCAAGGATCACCACCAGAACATAGATCACCATCAGACCATCGATCATCATCAGAACATGGATCAGACCAAGGATCACCATCAGAACATGGATCACCATCAGAACAAGGATGAAACCAAGGATCACCACCAGAACAAGGATCACCATTAGACCAAGGATCACCATCAGAGTATGGATCACCATTAAAACAAGGACCAGACCAAGGATCACTATCAGACCATGGATCGCCATCAGACCATGGATCACCATCAAAACATGGATCACCATCAAAACAAGGATCACTGTCAGAAAAAGGTTCACCATCTTCCTAACAATTTGGGAAAATTGTTACATTACATTAAACCCTATATAATAGTTTGGCATATAAATACACACATATGCATACAAACTTTCCTTTAAAGGTCATAAAATACATCAAATGGTTCCATCACTTCCACAGAAATTTCCTGAATGTCCAAATTAATTATCTCCCCTTTCCTATGGATGACAAAAAAATGAAATGTTGTAATTGTTGTCTTTCTGTTTCGTTGCACATCCTTGTGTTAATCTACACAACTTGTGGAAACATTGTTTTCCTCATGTCAGCTTCTTCATTTAGAGTCATTGAACTCAGTGTACAGGTGCTCATCCTTGACCTTGAACAAATGTTGCTGAATGCATGACCTACATTGCTGTACCATAATTTTCAAATAATTGTTCATTCCACTGAACGATTAAATATGCAGCCCAACCTTTTATTTGTGAGTGCATGCACAAGTAGGGCACTATTACACCAAGTATTGCACTGTAAAGATCTTATTGAAGTAGGCTATGAATAATTTAATTCATTCCAAGCACTTCAGTTTGGCAATAAAATGGTATTATGATGACAAAGTTGGACAAAATTTGGAACATATTCAAATTGCTTGAAAACAACCTGTGAATATCGGTATACACCACAGGCAGCAGTATAGTGGCTGCTACAACGTGTCCCGTGAATAATTAAGTGTGGATCTGACGAATGACTGGTCATATCATGAACATTGATCAACACTCTTGGAGCAAGTTAAACTTCAAACCAGGTCCAAAGTGCAACCATCCATATTGACAACGATGGGTACTGGGTGAAAGAATACAGGATGGTAAAAAATCTACAACATCTTTAAATACATCTCTTAGATCCCCTTCTACAAAAAGTTTGTTAAGATAAGTCCATAAGTAGGATGGACCAGTTGGAGTGAGTGAGGGAACAAACTTTTTTCCTGATGCTTATTTCCTAGAGCTGGTTAGGATTGTTTTTATATAAATCTAGATTTGTTTTCTTTTCGTAACATACAAATATTCCAGTAGTCATTGTGTAGGACTATGTCAACCTGTATGCAACGGAATTCCGACCAGACGAACTAGGTGTAAGTTGTAAGAAACATCACTAACCACTCCTTCTTATCACTAGGTCACAGGTGAGAGGTCACAGGTGAGAGGTCACATGTGATAAGACAATGCTATTGATACATACTCTGTAGCCACTGAAACCAACCAATCTCCAATACAGTCATAACAAGGGAAGTTGAGGACTACATACACAACATACTCTGTAGCCACTGAAACCAACCAATCTCCAATACAGTCATAACAAGGGATGTTGAGGACTACATACAGAACATACTCTGTAGCCACTGAAACCAACCAATCTCCAATACAGTCATAACAAGGGAAGTTGAGGACTACATACACAACATACTCTGTAGCCACTGAAACCAACCAATCTCCAATACAGTCATAACAAGGGATGTTGAGGACTACATACACAACATACTCTGTAGCCACTGAAACCAACCAATCTCCAATACAGTCATAACAAGGGATGTTGAGGACTACATACACAACATACTCTGTAGCCACTGAAACCAACCAATCTCCAATAGTCATAACAAGGGAAGTTGAGGACTACATACAGAACATACTCTGTAGCCACTGAAACCAACCAATCTCCAATACAGTCATAACAAGGGAAGTTGAGGACTACATACAGAACATACTCTGTAGCCACTGAAACCAACCAATCTCCAATACAGTCATAACAAGGGAAGTTGAGGACTACATACAGAACATACTCTGTAGCCACTGAAACCAACCAATCTCCAATACAGTCATAACAAGGGACGTTGAGGACTACATACACAACATACTCTGTAGCCACTGAAACCAACCAATCTCCGATACAGTCATAACAAGGGAAGTTGAGGACTACATACACAACATACTCTGTAGCCACTGAAACCAACCAATCTCCAATACAGTCATAACAAGGGACGTTGAGGACTACATACACAACATACTCTGTAGCCACTGAAACCAACCAATCTCCAATACAGTCATAACAAGGGAAGTTGAGGACTACATACACAACATACTCTGTAGTAATTGAAACCAACCAATCTCCAATACAGTCATAACAAGGGAAGTTGAGGACTACATAGAGAACATACTCTGTAGCCACTGAAACCAACCAATCTCCAATACAGTCATAACAAGGGACGTTGAGGACTACATACACAACATACTCTGTAGCCACTGAAACCAACCAATCTCCGATACAGTCATAACAAGGGACGTTGAGGACTACATACACAACATACTCTGTAGCCA